AAACTGTACGATGTATTGATGACTATATCAGGAAGACAGTCAATGGTAAGTGTCACCTCGGTTTTTTCCAAGCTATGGAGTTGTGTGGAATTAACCAACTGCAAAATAGAATAAATGAACGAACACTGCAGGGTTTGCGTTGTAACTGCGTTACTTGAATTCTAGCATTTTCAGGTGTTGACTACTATGACATCCCAAGATGTAAGGATTGCCAAATGGAGTGTAATAGCATTGTCTATCATGCTTATAACTCATATGGTCATGGGTTCAGTAATGGCGCATTAACTTGGCTGAATAAGAAGAACAGATCTTGGAGTATACCGCACATGAAGTAAGTATAATTGATTTTTATTATCATGACAGTGAGTAAAAATATTTTTTTGCTTCAAATACACTCTTCTTTCAAAGGCGAGTAGCTTGAGTCAAGCACATATGGGTTTTTTGTAGAGCAAATTTCTTGACGGTGAATGTATTTTTCCGTGATATGTCCTATATGGAATATGTGCAAGTGCAAGGGACAACTCTTACAGAGACTCTCAGTAAGTCCTTTGATTTTCGTTTAAATGAGGTTTTGAAATTCATTACAGCAGGAGACTTTGTAAGAGAGTAGTTAGACATCTTGATCCTATTGAATTGAAATTCTCACATAAACTTTAAACTTCTATTAGGCTTAGAATATTTTTACGTTTGGACAGTTTGAAGGAGCTTACAAACGTACATCTTATATTATCTGCATAATCTCCTATGTTATATCCTATTTTCGTCCTCGTTGTTACATTGAAGCTGCGATTGTCGAATTGCTTTTCACAGGTGATATCGGCGGCAATATGGGCTTGTTCCTCGGAATGAGCGTAATTACGGTAGTTGAAATCTTGATGTACTTCTCAAAAATTGGTTGGATTACATTTTCTAGAAAGAGGAGATATTACATGTATCAAAAGAAGGCACATGAAAAGGTTCGTTGTACCTCTATGCGTTTTTATTGGATAAAAAAGAGTGCATTAGGAGCACGAGAAACAACTGGAAGAAACAGTAACCGGTTTCAAATTGTTCCGAAGTCGCAAAGAGGGAACTGATATGAGTAATACAAGAGCGAGAATTCGAGAACTTACAAATAGAGTAGCTCCCGAGATTACGGTAGGCTAGTTCTTTGCACTATTTTCTGTTAAAATGTAGGATTACAGGAACACAAGTCGTCAGTGACATCGGATAGGGAAGGTGAAGCTGCTAATCGTCGATCGCGATTTATGAGCGCTGATATGGGAGTGAGTTTTCAGTATAGAAAACAAAGTTGCTATTTTGTTAATGATGAGTTTAACTCTTGTTGCAAAACTATAATTTATTGTCTTAGTTACTAGATCCCTAGAATACCCTTAATTCCCCTCATTTCAGTCGTTCTACAGCGACAATCCTGAAAAGCGAGACAGCGTTGTGAGCTGACAATTTTGCTT